CTAATTTGGGGGTGACGTTCGTATCTCTGTTTTGTGTGGATTACATGTTAATAGTACACCCTCCCTTCCAGTACCTGGCACTCGTGGATTCCTCCGGTGACGTAACTAATGAGCGACCTTATTTGGTTTTATGCACGCCTGCCGCTATATTATGTACCTACGTAAGGATAAAGTGGTTCTTATCTTGGCTAACGTAAAATGGGTTATTATCTTAGCTATTGTCTTGAATCGTTTGTATCTAGTATAAGTGGAATCAATGTCGATTTTTCTTGTCCCTTTCACGAATCACGTGATCGATGATGTTTCCGAGGACATCTCAGAATTTTCAATTATTTCGTGGAATTTGGACTTAATTTAATCGATTAATTTAATTCGCGTTGTGAGATTTTAATTTTTGGAAGATTTTTCAAATACATTTCAGAACATATAAAAATTTTCAAATTTAATTTTAGATAAAAAAGATTAATTAAAATTTTTCCGACTTGAAATACGTATAGCTCGATAATAGTATATTAAGATGAACTGAAATTTTTTGAGTTCATACCCAAACCTGTACCGAAATAGTCGAAGTAGGTATTCGTCAAGCAGTCTGTTGCTTTAGATAATGGAAAATAGTATAAGGATATATCTAAAAATACCCATGGGCACAAAAAACGTTTATGGGTTTTATTTTTGCAGTAAAATATTTAAACAAGAAAAACTAAATACAGTTAAAAAATGCATCAAATTCATGTCTTGGTCATTAAGATAATGCTCTTGGTCTTTTTTCCAACGATCTTGGTGTAAGTATAAATAACGTTTTTGACATTCTAGTGAGTTACAGAAATTTTCATTTTAATCATACACCGGAGTTCGTTCTTAAACATACACAAACCAACGAATAAAATCTGCATATCCGTAAAATTCTTGTGAGACAGAAAATTTCAGAAAAGTTCAACACAACCGTAAAACGTCTCATAAACGTGTAAGACAGATGGACGCCCAAGATTGATTGTTTTATTTCATTTAATAATACATTTAAATTGTATGAAATGTGCAGGTGTATTATTTTATGGAATTATATGGTATTGCAAAATTGTTGGATAAAGCTGACTAGGTGTGTTAAAAGTAATGTGTTTGATAAAAGAACAATTGATACCATGTTGTTTACGTTAATATGGGTGTTTTTAACTTCGTAACAGCGCGAACACTCGGTATTGGCATTTCATTTTCATGTTTGGTCATTTGTTCAAGTGGAAGTTAACGAATTGTTTGATGTTCATAGAGACTTGTAACGAAGCACCTATTTTTCGCCTTGACGTTTCATATCCGAAGTTATGCATCGTATATTTGTGGAGCCGGTATCTAGAAGCAAGCGTTTTAAGTTGTGGGCATCTTTACAAAAAGTGTCGCGCCGAAAGTATTTGTGTTGGTTCTAGGAATTGAAGATAGAAGGTAAAGGTATTTGATTTAATTTCTATAGTTGTGTTTCGGCCGCCGCTACCGTTAATAAAGCTGCAATTAATTCACCGTTTGCAACCGTTCCCGTTAGGGTATTTCAATTGTCTTTGTCGCGTCCGAAAGTTCTTGTCATTTAGAAGACGAGGCAAATTAATATTTTAGAATTTCAGCCATGTTAAGCCACTATTAGCAGGGTTTTGTTGTTTTGTTTCTATGGTAAATTAAAACGAGCATTAAAACCGCAAGGTCATGCGCTGATATCAATTACAAATTTTTCAGCAAGCCGCACAATTAATTAAAAAAGCTGGAAAACCGTCGATCTCTCCATGCCATAGCCGAATTGTACTCGTATAAAAGGCAAAGCAGTTGTTTAGACGGGATCATTATACCTTTTGTATTTTTAGGCGACGTTCGTAAGTACCGTAATTTTTGAGATTTTTCGTAAATTTACTTTACTTACTGGAAACCGTACCTTATTTAAATCAGCGATCGCTTTTGGTGTTTAGCCGAATAGCAAGTTGATCCATAGATATAAACAACAGATTGCGATCCTTATGTATTGCATTGGTCATTTAGGCATACTTAAAAGCGCCCTCTATTAAGTAATAGTATAAACAAGTAGCGTGTAAACATGTAAAATGACGCTAATGGATTTATTCATTAAATGTGGCTGCAAAAAATTTAACGCGCTAAAGTTGGCACAATTCGAATTCCTTATTATTGGTATTATTACAGCGATATGATATGATAGGAGCTAAACTGAGCTTTTGCTGCAAAATCTAATGCATAAATCCATAAGCGTAATTTTACAGTTTTGGAATGTACATGTTTATACTGCTGCTTATTAGATGGCGCTTTTAAATATACCTGAATGCAATGAAATGCATAAGGTTAGCAACCTGTTGCTTGTGTATTGTATCTGTGGTTGATTTTTCTGCGTTTTGCACTTTCGTTAGCTACGTTTTGTAAGTAGGTACCGTAATTTTGAGTTTTCCGTAAATGTATTTTGCATTCACACGTTTAGTTTTTGCTTTTACATTAAATTTACCGCACCGTGTCTACAACTGTTACTTTTTCTTGCACAGTAATTTCTACTGCTCGGCTTAATTGCAAGGTAGTTTGTTGTGACTTTACGTTTCATTGATTATAGGGGGGGATATTGTTTCGCTTTCCTGTATTTACTTTCTCGTATATACCGCTACCGAATCCGATTATTTACTGTTCCCACTTAAGATATTTACTGTGCACTTTAATTTTGTTTTACAATCACCAGTAGCCGGCCGCCACTTGCTCTTTAGAATTCGTGGAGCTGCCGTTTGAGTTTGTCCGAGGCTTCCAAGACCGATCCGCCAAACCGCTGCAACCTCCGACCTTGACTATGGGCAAGGCCGTACCCTTGGTGGCGCTCGAGTCCACCGTCCGCCAAACAGAACACCCATGCTACCGCCGACTGCCGCTACTTTCGTCTACTCACATGATTTAGTGACTATAATTTGTACATTTATTTATTTTTGTTGTAAATTAATTTATAAACATTATTCCACTACTGTTTATTTAATTTATCATGCCATTTGTGCACGGACAAAGTTCGTCGCATACTTTCGCCGTAAAGCAACAAGCCTAGGGATGGGAATAACTGTAACTAAACTCGTTGCGAATCCAACTCCGGTTAATCTCGAAGCTCATCTTTACGGCGTTGATACCTTGAATGAAAGGGTAGCTACCAACCCGCGACCATGTGACTTTTCTCCTACCAAACTCCAGGCCATTACGTTGCTTCCATCTGTAACGTTTTTTTAAATGTTTATAATCCTTTTAGTAACCGTTGCGCTATCTAGATATTTCTCGTGAAAATGCCTTGTAGTTAGTTTTGTTGGCAACACTTTTCATATTCTACCGCTAGAGGTAGAGGTCATACAAATTTACTATTCACTTTTAATTTAAGTCACTGTACTATTCACTACCTGTACTGTAGAACAGAGTCGATTGTTACTTGTGAAAGAACATGCCGCCATTATGTGTGCTGTGGCCATTTTGGAATCTTATACTTTGGTAAAATTCCATCGTGTAGTTTGCTGATATATTTCTACAAATTAAGCTGTTTACGGTATGTGCTAGCAATTGCGTAATAACCATGACATACTGATTTTAGGCTTTTATTTTCTGGTTTATTCTCTTTTCTTCATGTTACTTCGTGGTTGTCTACCTGATTATTGTTATCTACATCGAAATCCTTTGACGAAACACCGATTTACCCAAAATTAGGATTAGGTACATCACCGCTTACCGACGGCTCGTTGTCGATCAACATTTTGCTTTTGCTAGTTTAAAATCATTTGAATTATTGCTTTTCGTTAGGTGTTGATTACAACTTCAGTATTCGAGTTGCTCGACGTGACAAACGTTAGATTTTTCTCACACTTTATATGCTCCTCTGTTTGTTTAGTGTTTTTACCTGATCGCAAATTATTGGCAGAAAGCGCCCTTCTGAATTCAGACGGCCGTCGCCAAGATTCAATGGTAATTTCGTCGAAGCTACGTGAAATGACGTTTGTGCATAAGGTTTTCCATAGGCCCAAATTGTAATTAGTATATTTTTTTTGTGTTGCGGAAGTATATTTCGATAAGTATCTTCTGACTACGAGTTTTTGTAAATTACCTACTTTTGAATTTAAATTTACACCCATCTCTACTTTGCCTGAGGTCATTATTATGGAATTAAAATGTGGACTAATTTTAGAGTGATGTATAGGTACACGTTCATCCAACAATCGTAAATTAATTTTTGGCTGCTTTATTGAAATGCCAAACGCTTGAACGATTTGCTTTCATACGTTCCCGCATTCAAGCTGGCTCTGTTCTAGGTACAAGATATGATGCGAGTAAATCAATATTGCAAATAATAGCCTTTGTTTTGCGTTAAAAGATAAGGTACGTTAAACTGTACAAACAATCTACTTTGGAATAATGTTTGCCTATTTGATATCAAATGGGGAGCACAAGAAAACGAGGCGTGTAATTCTAATTACTGTTTGACTTCACGATTTGTGTGTACACTTGTAATGCTTTTAGCTATAGATAAAAGGATTTTTTGGTCTTTTTAGCATTGGAAATGCTTATGTTTTGTATGGGTATGAAGTTACCGGTTTAGTCAAACAGAAAAGAAGACAGTGGTGTCGCGTCAAGTGTTGATTGTACCGTACTCGACCGCAATCGGTAGATGCACGAAAAGTCGCGGATATTGTCGATATGGTACTTAGTTAACAGTGCGCAAGGGTTTTGTTAATTCGAATCTAAAAAAGGATTGCGAAATCTGTGAAATTTAGGTTAGAGCAGCCAATCGGGCGTGCTTTAGGTAATTAGATAAATATGGAAACTCGCACCTTCTGAGTAGGCAAATAGATAAACATTAGTTTCTCAAGCAGAAACCTCCCTTGTTTAAATTCTGTATAATCGATAATATCCACAACTCCCTGGGATTGTTCTCCTTATTCCTTGCGTGAAGGAAATACATTTCCACTTGACTAGTCACGACGACATTTATTGAAAATATTCATTACCTGTTGTGAAAGTTTGGTCATGTCGACGGGAGTAACCCGTTTGAGAGCCGAGAGCCTCTCGAGTCGCTCCCGCGCTTGTTGTTCCACAGCAATAACGAACGCATCTTGGACACTGCTCGAACACAAATCCAAGTCCACTGCTGCAAGAAAGAAAAGAGAAAGCGTTAGTTCATGACAATGTTGGGAATATTAACGATATTTCATCTTCCGAAAGCAAACAGTTTCGCGGATGTATAATCAGCGGGAAACTTTCGCCATTCGACGCTCTCGATTGTATCAAAGATGTTTATTATCAAACAAATGTCAATTCAACCCTCCGAACTTTAGAAACTTTACGGAAACGGTCGATTCTGATTATTTACATTTTAAAGCCGCTATTTGCAAATGGAGTCAACTTGGAAAATTAGAAAGAAAGTAAGCGTGGCGTAGATTGTTTTGTTTTTACTTTAAAATCGAATTAATCAAATCAAAACAACGCATAGCAACATTTATAATAATACATACACATCAACGGCAAGAATGGCATTTGATTTGATCAAAAAAGATATGGCCAGGCAAATGGTGCCTAGGCTGGTCACATCTCCAGCCCCACCGTTTTTTTCGATTTTGTACGTAGGCAAGCGGTCCTGAAATACGGTCTGACTGTTTAAATGCGTTTGAAAGCTGCCGGCGCCGGTGAGTCGTGGGATGTGGTGGGAAGTTGGTTGTTCGGGGAGGACCGTCAGGTATTGCGCGTTGAGCGGTGAGCGAAGTTAAGTCGCCCACCCGTAGGTTACCTTAGGGTGGATTTTATTTTGTCTCGCGGCAAACTGCAAGAGAAAAGTAGCATGAAGCGGTCAGTGCGGTTAAGTCGCCCTCCTCTAAGTGACTGCAGATCGCATTTTATGTTATTTGAATAAGCGTGCAGTTAATCCGGTCACCTGTAATTTACCGTAGGGTGGATTTTATTGTGTGTTATTTGATTTCCGACGAGCCGCCAGCGCAGTTAAGCCAGCCACCGCAGAATGTTTCCATATATTAGGGCGACAAGCTAATAACCGAGAGTATTTGCGGAAAAAATTGCGTGCGCCTACGGTAGCGAAGTATAAACGCATGACATTTTAAACGGGTCATTTAAAATTTGCTGACCCTAAAATTCAAAGGATAACTTGTGAGTTAGAAACTATTACAATAAATACGAACAATAACGGAAGTTTTTAAACCGGCGAAATTAAATTCTGTGACCCTGAAAACTAGAAAAATGGACTAGGGAGAATTGATGATCCTTACGCAAAATCAACTGTCATGGTGGTTTTCGGGAAACGGTAATTGATTCCTTCTTCCTGCCATACTCCCAAGACCACCCGGTATTACGCTCTCCCCCAAAATGATTACGACAATGAGTATGGTTATAATTATTTTGTAGGGAGTGTCATGAAATTTTTCATTTTTGGGACATACACGAAAGTTCTAAGGGCTGAACGTTTTGGGAGAGAATGTAGCTTTGCTTAAGGGACACTTTATAACCCTATCTCAAAATTGTCATGATAGTTTTGGGAAAAAGATAATTGTTTCCTTCTGTGTGTTCCATACCGCCCTAATTTGTATGTATTTGTATACGCTCCACTATTTTTCATTAAACTGTATAGACTTCGACGATAGGCGGCTTATTTGAAAGAGAATGGGGTAAGGATCTCGTGCCTACCGGTATTTTTTCCTGGTCCTAGCATTAATATTATTAGGAGGAAAATACGCTCTCGTCATTTATGTTTGCATATTGACTTTTTAAACTTGTTATTTCTTGGTAATGGAACGATTTGCACCTTAAATGCGGAGATGTTCCAGATTGGGGAACTGGGACCGTGAATGGATATTATTGTTATTGCATGTATTCTGCGGTTACAATATCAGCATTTTTCAGATAAGTCAAAGATTATAGGATACATATTGTTATCCGATTTATTGTTATCATTGAACATAATTGCACGTGTTTTACCGGTACATTTGCTTTAATGTGAGAAGTTTCGACAAATTACGTAAATTCCTTCCACACAGAAACATTTCTAGGTCAACAAGGTAAATACACACATCTAAGGCGAGAAAAATTCCAAACAGTGTTTAGCATTCACAGATACGTATTAATGCTCAAAAGTTTCCCAAGATTTATTCTCGTATTATGTAAATTTAATCGCATCTTCGAAAAAAATATCTTATTATTATGCGAGAAGTTTAACAAGAAAAAATAAAGTTACGAAAGACACTTTTAAGAATACGCCGTTTTCTTTCTATGCTCGTTATAGGCAACGATTTTAATTATAGGAGGAAACTAAATGTAATTTAAACGTAATTGGCACTCCAATTTCGAGATGCTCCAATTATGCCTTAGCTTAGAGCGATATAGAATTACGACCACAATTACCCTAAACCATTCTATTACCGGTGCATGTAAGAACAAAAATTCTAGGAGGAGCGTTACAGCGTTTGGAGATACAATAAACCTTGAATTGATATTCCGGAATTTAAAGCTGTAATTATAAGCAACGTAAGTACTTAATTTTCTATTATAAAAGTTGGCAATAAAAAACCTAAACATTAATTAACATAATTTTTGAGGTGGGATGACGTTGACTGCCAAGTCCATTGTATACTTTGCTAAGTCATGATCGTACGAGGGCGGTTTTTATGTTCTACACCTGGCCATGAAACGAGAAGACGCACAATTTAGCCTTTTTTGCTCTTAAACATGTACCTACTTCGATTAGTTATCTTTAAGATGGATCAAAACGATAACACTCTGTATAGACAATGTCGAGAGTGAACCATCAAAGGTGATCGTCCATCTCATGGCTGTCTTTGAACAATCTGGAACCTTTATGACATTTTTTTTCCGTTGGAAGCAGGAGATGTCGCAACGAACATTTGTACCGCTCCTAAAATCAGCAAAATAAATGTTTTCGCCCTCATTGGCTAGTGGTTGTGTCTTTTAGTTCCGGGAGTGCAGGCATTAGGATGCTCGTCCTGTGATGTACACGCTATTTTTTGCACTTTCATAAATAGTTACAGCAATATTTAAAGGAAACAACTTTGTTTGATTGTAGAATCAAGATACCTTGTAATGTTATTTATGTTAGGGTATAATAGAAAATATCAGTTTCATTTTAAGATTTTTGTTAATGCAGATGTGATTATTTAAAACGCCCCCGAGGAAGCTATGCCTCTCAAATCCAAAAAACAAGTTTACGGTTAATGTTCAAATTTTCTTACATTTCATTGTGTACTGCTGGGAAAAAAGTGACACTTTAGTCCCGTATTTCTTAATAATCGTATGCATATAGGATGCACTGCTACACTTAAATCACAATGAGTTCACTAACTGAAGCTTTAATATGACGACAATTATACAATACAATTTCTTCAAGAAATTAAAGAACATTTGCCAATTAAGTTCAGTTGAATTACCCATAAAAATAGGAAACTAAAATTTTCTTTGCAAATTACCGCAACGATTTACAGTTTCTTTCGTACAGGAATTATATCAGAAGCTCTGAAGTTTCGTACCCGAAGATATGACCACACCGTATATTTGTCGAGTCGACAGGTTTGCTGAACACTCGGTATCTAGAAGCGTTTTAAGTTTGGCGCTTCGTTACTAAGATCTTTCTGAATTTACTTATTTGCTCTTGGAGACGAGGAGTGAGTTTTCTGTGTTTTCATTTTGTTTTCCCCTGATAGTGCACATGAGTTAAGCAGTGAATTATTAGTTTTGCAACCTTTCCTCTAGGAATATGTAAATTGTTTTAGCACCACCGAAACCTCTTTTGCCAGTTTTAGGTCCGTTAATTACCGATTAATAAATTTTAGTTTTTTTATGGTATACCAAAAACCAAGAAATTCCAGTTACTCCCTATCCGAAAGGGACGTTTCGACAATTAGAAAACGCACTATGAATTTAGATCTTTTTGCTTCTGCATCTTCGCCGCTACGTTTTGAGTAGTAATATATGGCCGATTCTAAATCTCACTAGATGAAAATCCCTAGAAAAGTCACTAGAATTGAGTGGTTCTGAACTGTGGTAGCGAGGTTTGCGCTTGTGCTAACGTCAAGGTCAAGGGGTTGAGGTTTGTGCTCAAGATAAAGTATCAGAGGTTTGCGTCCGAGCTAAAGTAAGTCGGTTTGTGCCTGACGGTTCTTGTCGATGGTAGTGTACGGCCGATTCTAAATCTCACTAGATGAAAATCCCCTAGAAAAGTCACTAGAATTGAGTGGTTCTGAACTGTGGTAGCGAGGTTTGCGCCTGTGCTAATGTCAGGGGGGTCGAGGTTTGCGCTCAAGATAAAGTATCGGAGGTTAGCGCCTGTGCTAAAGTTAAGGTCAAGGGGGTCGAGGTTTGCGCTCGAGATAAAGTATCGGAGGTTTGCGTCCGAGCTAAAGTAATTTGGTTTGCGCCTGAGTCGAGAGTAATATATGACCGATTCTAAATCTCACTAGATGAAAATCCCTAGAAAAGTCACTAGAATTGAGTGGTTCTAAACTGTGGTAGCGAGGTTTGCGCCTGTGCTAACGTCAAGGGGTCGAGGTTTGCGCTCCAGATAAAGTATCGGAGGTTTGCGTCCGAGCTAAAGTAATTTGGTTTGCGCCTGAGTCGAGGGGTATTGTCGATGGCAGTGTACGGGTGATTCTAAATCACACTAAAATCCCCCTAGAAAAGTCACTAGGATTGAGTGGTTCTGAACTGCGCTAGCGAGGTTTGCACCTGTGCTAACGTCAATGTCAAGGAGTCGAGGTTTGTGCTCGATATAAAGTATCGGAGGTTTGCGTCCGAGCTATTTGGGCTGGAGGTTTGTTGTCAGGTGACGGTGAAGTTTCAAGGTCGTTTAAGGCAATTTGATCGTGGTGGTTTACTTCCGGGGTAGGATAATTTGATCGGGGCCTTCAAGTAACTAGGTTTGTATATGTGCTGCGTGGGTTCGAATGTGTTGCTTGTACGGTTCTGGACTGGGGTTTGTAAAACTAGTAAAGCTACTCTCAATAATGTAGGACTGAAATCACACTAAGTTGCTTTCGGGGTTTGCGTCCGGGCTAACAATTCTATCTCCTGTCAATCACCGTGCAGAAATCTATTACTGTAGATTTCAAGGCCACACTTTGGAAATATAAGGTGAGCTGCAGGGCGTTTTTTCATTCAGTCCGATAGTGCTTTCCAAACAGTTAAAAAATGGATCTTAATGCGCTCAACAATGAAACATTCTGTAAAGCATTTAAGAACGTTAAGGATATGGAAGTGGAGGAAAAGTTTAAAATTCTGAATATCGATATCATAAACACAAAGTATGGTGACCGAATAGTACTGGAAACAGAAAATTATAAATGCGTACTACCACTGCGGTTCTACGAGTATTTCAAAGTAGGTAATCGGCTGAGCGAGTTCCAAGAATCCTTGAAGACAAACGAGGTGTTCATTACAAGTGCAGGACCGTCAGGAAAGACCACAAACTTAAAATTTATGTAAACATTAGCTATTTTTGAAAAAAGATTATGTAAATAGTGTTGTAAATAAAACCATTAGACTACAAATAATCGTGTTTCATTAAGAAAAGAAAAAATGCCATCTCTGGTCATCCTTTGAATTCCATCCCGCCTCTTGTGTTGAAATATGTAGTTTGCGCTGCAATCCCCTCGAAGGTGTAGGTTGCGAATATCCCTTGGATCGTTAAATGGGCTCCAACCACAACGTACCTTTGGTGCGGAAAAACGACGAAGGGCATCGAGAGAGATTCAAGTTGTTTTGCGTCCCTGTAATCAATAATTCGCCCGTTACGATAAAGTTTCAACCATGGGCTCCACCTGAGCTGTTGGTAGTGGAGGCAGTGTAGGTGATCTCATCGTTTCCAGCAATTTGAGGGATTATTTTCAACTTTAAAAAAGAAAATTGGAGAATGAAAAAAAATCGTTTATTGAAGGTACTAACCCACCAGGCAAACAGAAAATCTGTAGCAAATCCTCCTTCTAACCGCGCTACGGATGTGTGTCCACTAAATTTTCTGTTCTGTAAAAACAAGAAAACAATTACTTTTAACGTAGTATCTACATGCCCCAACTCAAAAGGTATCAGAGTAATGTTGTATACTTACACAATCGTGGGGCGAATTGATTGTGATGACACGGGCATCTATTTCAATGGAATCCCATTTTGATACGAATTTACCTAAGAGACACCGCGTTGTTTACCACAGCGTTTATTTCTGGAGCCAACGCCAACGTGTCGTTGATAGCCGTTGTTGATCGACAGGTGGCTTTAGAAATGTTTGTTGCGAAATTTTCGCGCCCGATGCTCGAAACGTTGAGAATTTTCGTGATGTCATATTGTGTGTGACTCGCGCGCGCACTTTACGTTTAACTATAGTAAATAGGAGGCAAATTGCGATCGTAGCGGAAAACTAAAGACGGAACGTGTAACGAGTGAGAAAACGATACATTCTTTGTTTTAGATCTGAAATGCATACTCCCATTTCCAGGAATAACGGTCGGAAACAAGGGCGCTTTGTTTTTTTGAAAACGCCTTACGCGGTAAAATACGTCAAGGAAGTCACCTATTTATTCTTTAGGATATCTAGGTAAGTAGTTTTGGTTAAAATCAAATAAAACATGTCTCGTTAGGGTAATTAATATTGGACGTACCTACTAGCATTTCGTAATATATATTCCTCATTAGAAATAGTGGTTTCGGAGAACTAGAATACAGTTTCGCATTTTGCGGTAGCCCTTCATACGAAATAAATTTTAAATTGGTTTTTTTTTTTCGTAATACCTATCTGTCTATAAAGCGCAGTTGGCCAGTTAGCTGTTAGCGGAACATCAAAAAACAATGACAGGATTTTGCGAGTCGTTTGTTTTTTGTCAAAAAGTTGGAAGAGTAATTTTTTCCCCATCACCTTTTAATTAATCATTACTTCGCGAGAATGCTTGCAATAGTTAAGGCAGTAAAGAAATGCAGCAGCAGCAGTTAGATAAGCACCTTTTCCATTAGCGTTTAGTGGGGGCATTTGCCTATATATACGTAGGTACTTATGCACCTACATCGCGTTTTCCTTGTTCTTGTATAAAGGGCACTACATTGCTCGGGGGAAAATTTCCAAAAAGCAAGGATATAATTTACGTGTGGCTGTAATTGGTTTCCACGAATTGCTTATCATTGAGAATCTATTTTGTAGACATACAACTACGTATGGAACTAAATAAGAGTAGGTACGTATAAGAGGGTAAATACGAATATTAGTAAATCTTCATTTACAGTAGGTAAACCGGCAAGTTGCGCTATAGGTATAATTGGTAAATTAGAAAAGTATACCAAAGAAAAATTGTATAGCGCGCTTGCACTTTGGAATCTAAATCGAATACATTCCCCCCCGGACCCTGCAGGTGTTGAAACAAAGACGTCTGTTGCAAGCATCATGTAGCAGCTCATCCCTCTTCTCTCCGCTAAAGACACTGGTTGAAATTTTCCATTAGTTCATTCGCGTCTCTCTTCTTACATACGTCATGGCGAAAAAGTACCCAAACCTTACAACCAAAAACCGGAAATGCAAAGGAAGAGTTTACAAAAAAAACGGCAACCAAATTAACAACAACAGTCCTTAACTAAAATAATGCGAGGACTGCAGAAAAACGCAGTGGCAGTGCACCCCCGGCGACCTCCCCGCTTCCCCCCGGTATTATACGAAGGACGACGATAATTTGAATCTAATAATTAAAAAATTTGGTCAACTATTGCGGAAGTAGGTACAAACTGTTTTATATTTCTCTCCCACCCCTACTATTTTTGCGCACGCATGTTAAAAATAATAACTTGTTTACAGTAAATATGGGGGAACATTTCGAGTAGGGTCATAGCACAGCTGATAGAATGGAGTTGCTGCTGCATATTTTCTTTTTGCATAGCTTTATCACTTTGGGATACCAGCACCATCGCATGCCTTAAATTAACTTCAATTAATATCTACTCAGGTGGTGTGGAACCAATCCTACGAATGTACCGTAAGTTTTTGTGGAAATATTTTGTAGAACCGTAACCGATGATTGATTACAGTCACACAACCACATCAACAACCCTCGAGCGGCAAAGGTCAAGAAGACCTAATGAAAAGCGTCAGCCTACTTTTCGGCTCTGGAAGCGACCGACCTGTAAGGAACTGGCGCACAAGACCTACGGGCGGGCCTAAAAAATATGGATACCGCTGCAAACTGGTGGATGCGCAAACCGTCGACAAAACAACTGGACTCTTCCAAAAGAGAGGCGCTTGGAAAAAAGGATTTTCAATTTGTTGAAGAATTTCTTAAGTTCACTTTTAAAATATATTTATATTGAAAGATGTAAATTAATAGCTTTGTTATGCAACCCAGAATGCAGAAGCGAGCTAGTATGGTTGCAACACTGCATCCGACATTTCGCGAAGATGCAGTTAATGCAACTAAACACAGTATCATACTTTTCCGAATGCAGAATGGGACTGTCACTAGTGTGGTTGCATAATCACAGTTGCATCCGAGCATATATTGTGCGTATGTTCTATCCATGATTTCATAAATATTTTAAGGTGGATAACCCACTTCAATAACTCCTTGCCCCCTACAAATAAGTCTTCATGAGTGCTGATAGGATGGCGCAGAAATTTAGCATGAAGAAAAAAAAAGGATGTGCATGAATTATTTAAAAAATAAACTGTATATAAGAAAGCTCTCTTAACGGCGCCCCCCCCCTATAACATTTCCTATAATAGCAAAACAATTTCTTACACCCCTAAGATAAACATTCCCAAAAGTAGTAGATTACATACCGAGGTGGGAAGTGGTTCATTACCTACGCCGAGAGGCTTTGGGCAATTATTTTGAGGAATATAATATGAGGTACCCGTGACATCCACGCCTGTCGGTCAATGAATTATTTTTATTTGTTACTCAGTTGTAAACGTTGATTAACAAGACAAAACGCAAACGGGTAAACGTCATCTTTAAACGCTACTGACTTGTAAAACTGACAGCTGACGTGTAAAAATTTTACAAGTTAGTAATCTAGTAATTGCATTGGCCAGAATTAATGCGAAGTCTCGGTTACATGGATAATATGATATTTTAGAAATTTCTTCGAGATCAATTTAAGAACTAATTATTTACGTTTACCAATGAGTAACAAATAAAATATTGTACATTATACGCCAGGTAATAGTTTTTACTGGCTCTAGGAGATGACAGGCTCGCCTGACGGCTCGCCAGTCAACTTCTCCTATCGCCAGTAAAAACTCACTTACCTGGCTAATAATGTAAAATACTATTACATTACAGTATACATATAAGCAAAAGTACCTATACCTCGTTTTGGTCTAAGATTTTGGTATTCAACGTTACAGATTCTATTTTCCCCTAGACACTACAAAACTAATTAGAATTACGGTTGGGGGCCTTTTCGGTAATGTGCTTGGCGTTTGAAATTCGCACCTTTGTAAATCGTATCGACGTAGCAGTGGAGTCATGCTATTTAGAGAACTGGAAACGGAAGAGGTGACAGGTGAATAGATTGAGGCTGTGTATATTTATGAGATCCTCATTTTTGGCAGTTGTAATAATTCCACCACCGCTGCCGAGGGCTCCTTTCTGCGTAAGAGGAACCCGCGCTACCCGAATTTGTTTGCCGTTGATACAATTCCTTTCGGAATAACTGAGGCAGTTCACATATAACAAGCGCCAATCATCGCAGTCAACCACTTTCAAGGTTACGGGTTGGAAATATAAGCTATATCGATGCTTTCAATCAGTACAGTAGTGCTAGTAGTCCAGTAGTACCTATAGTGCTCGCAACAGTTGGTGAATCAATAGCAGAAAATGGTTATTGCGATTGACGTTCAAGGATTTAAATCATCCACAACGACATTTACGCCAAAGGAGTTGGCGGTATTTAATGGGCACCAAGTTGCACATTTTGTGTTCAAACCTCCATTTTCATTTAGCAGCTTAGATGTGAACTACCAGAGACAAGCAATCTGGCTGATGCACAACCACCATTGTATTAAATGGGAAGAAGGACATACACCGCCCCACTTATTTCCGATTATACTTCGCGGCTAGTATCACCAATGGAGGCTATATATGTGAAAGGAAAGGAGAAGGCAGAATTTATACGAAAAACCTTATCGCAGGATGTCGTCGAAATCAACGAGGAACCTGCATTACCTAAATTGGAAGCCAGCTGTTTATATCATTCCTATCCAAAATGTCATTGTGCATTGGCAAACGTGTATTACATACATAACAATTATACAATGTCGTAATTGTTTAGTAAATAAAGCGATCAAAGTTTAACATTTATTCTTTCTCTTAATACCCTATAAATAAGGATGCCTATGTGCAAAACGATCGTTTCAGAAAAGGTTTCGATCACTATGTATAATACCTACCGTGAAAACGTGCTTATTTTTCAGTTGAAAAAACACGGTTATCAAGTACCTATACCTACAGCTTTCAAAATAAACAGATAAACAGGTAAACAGATAAACAGGTAAACGGATAAACAGGTAAACAATATCTGTTTTTTTAAATAAAGCTGTTTCTGTTATAGCTGTTTATCTGTTTACCTGTTCAGTTGTTTACTAGTTTATCTGTTTACCAGTTTATACGTTTGGCCTTCTGTAAAAATAGCTATGTTTATCCTACTCAATTTAAGAAGCATGTATGTCTTAACGTCAATTATTTGCATTCGTTTTCCTAGCAGCTGAACAGCTATAACAGCTGAATAGCTATAACAGCTGAACAGGTATAACAGCCGAACAGCTATAACAGCTATAACAGCTTTATTGGGGAACAGACCCTGTTCCAGTTGATCTGTTTTTTGATATCTGTTTACCTGTTCCGTTGATCATGGATAATAAGGAGATGGCCTTGAAACGACGAATAGTTCAGGCGCGTAAAGCGATACAGCAAAAGTACGATCGTCTCAAAGCGGATCGTTTTATTTTACAACTTTTATCGCAGATTTAAGAGCAAATAGTGTAAATAATGTAATTAGTAGTAGTATGTATAAGGATAGTTCGTATGTCATTAACGATGCTATGTGCACAGTGGCAGAATACGCAAACTTTAATGCGCTGCAAATATTTATTGATGTTTGCCAAGAGTCGAATGTTAGGTATAATTTTAGTCCACGGCAAGATGCTCACCATTGGAAAATCTACGAGTGGCTATTGAAAAATATAAGAACCGGTACACAAGATCCTAACGCTCTCCTGGGTTGGAGGTGTGGTCCAGATAGCAGCATATGGCCCTCGCCGCTGCTGAACGATTACCATAAAACGTACGATATTCTTGTTAGCGTTACTACTACTACTAGAAAAAATGAAAAATATGTTGTATGGTAATTGGAAGGAAAAATAAAAAAAGATCAAAAAAGCTTTTGTTTTTTTTTATTTATTAATTTACAGCGAAAATTACAATACGATATTATCATTTTCTATCCAAGATTTTTCGTCCAGTCCCCACCACTAGACGTACACTTGCGATCGTTTTGCACATAGGCATCCTTATTTATAGGGTATTAAGAGAAAGAATAAATGTTAAACTTTGATCGCTTTATTTACTAAACAATTACGACATTGTATAATTGTTATGTATGTAATACACGTTTGCCAATGCACAATGACATTTTGGATAGGAATGATATAAACAGCTGGCTTCCAATTTAGGTAATGCAGGTTCCTCGTTGATTTCGACGACATCCTGCGATAAGGTTTTTCGTATAAATTCTGCCTTCTCCTTTCCTTTCACATATATAGCCTCCATTGGTGATACTAGCCGGCGAAGTATAATCGGAAATAAGTGGGGCGGTGTATGTCCTTCTTCCCATTTAATACAATGGTGGTTGTGCATCAGCCAGATTGCTTGTCTTTGATAGTTCACATCTAAGCTGCTAAATGAAAATGGAGGTTTGAACACAAAATGTGCAACTTGGTGCCCATTAAATACCGCCAACTCCTTTGGCGTAAATGTCGTTGTGGATGTTTTAAATCCTTGAACGCCAATAGCAATAACCATTTTCTGCTACCGATTCACCAACTGTTTCGAGCAGTATAGGGACTACTAGCACTACTGTACTGATTGAAAGCATCGCTAAGCTTATATTTTCAACTCGTGACCTTGAAAGTGGTTGACTGCGATGATTGGCGCTTGTTATATGTGAACTACCTCAGTTATTCCCAAAGGAATTGTATCAACGCCAAACAAATTCGGGTAGCGCGGGTTCCTGTTACGCAGAAAGAAGCCCTCGGCAGCGGTGGTGGAATTATCACAACTGCCAAAAATGAGGAGCTCATAAATATACACAGCCTCAATCTATTCACCTGTTACCTCTTCCTTCCGTTTCCAGTTCTCTAAATAGCATGACTCCACTGCTACGTCGATACGATTTATAAAGGGGCGAATTTCAAAGGCGAAGCACATTACCGAAAAGGCCCCCAACCGTAATTCTAATTAGTTTTGCAGTGTCTAGGGGAAAATAGGATCTGTAACGTTGAATACCAAAATCTTAGACCAAAACGAGGTATAGGTACTTTTGCTTATATGTATACTGTAATGTAATAGTATTTTACATTATTAGCCAGGTAAGTGAGTTTTTACTGGCGATAGGAGAAGTTGACTGGCGAGCCGTCAGGCGAGCCTGTCATCTCCTAGAGCCAGTAAAAACTATTACCTGGCGTATAATGTACAATATTTTATTTGTTACTCATTGGTAAACGTAAATAATTAGTTCTTAAATTGATCTCGAAGAAATTTCTAAAATATCATATTATCCATGTAACCGAGACTTCGCATTAATTCTGGCCAATGAAATTACTAGATTACTAACTTGTAAAATTTTTACAGGTCAGCTGTCAGTTTTACAGGTCAGCTGTCAGTTTTACAAGTCAGTAGCGTTTAAAGATGACGTTTACCCGTTTGCGTTTTGTCTTGTTAATCAACGTTTACAACTGAGTAACAAATAAAAATAATTCATTGACCGACAGGCGTGGATGTCACGGGTACCTCATATTATATTCCTCAAAATAATTGCCCAAAGCCTCTCGGCGTAGGTAATGAACCACTTCCCACCTCGGTATGTAATCTACTACTTTTGGGAATGTTTATCTTAGGGGGGTAAGAAATTGTTTTGCTATTATAGGAAATGTTATAGGGGGGAGCGCCGTTAAGAGAGCTTTCTTATATACAGTTTATTTTTTAAATAATTCATGCACATCCTTTTTTTTTCTTCATGCTAAATTTCTGCGCCATCCTATCAGCACTCATGAAGACTTATTTGTAGGGGGCAAGGAGTTATTGAAGTGGGTTATCCACCTTAAAATATTTATGAAATCATGGATAGAACATACGCACAATATATGCT